TGTCTGTTTTTGCAACTTGGACCGGTGCATGTACACTCTCGCAGCATTTGTCTTGCCCAGGCATTGGCTATTCTTTCGCTCAACTCCCAGCCGTCACTGGCCGCAATCTGAGAGTTGTCAAGGACTTGAAGAAGGAAGAGACTCTGACAAGTTCAAGGTAGCACACTCTGCAGCAATGACTGCCTGTGAGAAGGTGGGACCGTTTGCCATTGTAGCTGTCGACGCACTATGCAACCGCGGCTAGACGATTCGGCAACGCAAGGCGGGTAAATGGCAGATGGTTCTCGGCATGCTTTACCACCTGCCAATACTACGGCTGCAGCCGGACTGTGCATGCATCTTGTGACTTGTGCTTTGCCGTCCCCTCAGACATTTGTTTCTTGACAGTTGCAGGATCACATCACGTTCACTTCATGCATAGGTCCTGGCCAGTCTTTGGCGCGCTTGGCAAGTCGAAATTGGAAGCCTCGCATGCTTCAGGTGCCGTTGAGAAGCTGGGCTTTTGGCGAGTTGCGATTTGGTTGCTGGAGGACAAACTGCCGAGCACATCGCCACTGCAGGCATTGCACCACGCGGCCACTTCTGTAATCTACGGACAGGACATCGGGCGCCTCGCCCTGCAGGCCTGGTGAGACCAGAGCCTGTGCCCATCCCTCGGAGTGGTGTGACACAAGGGGGTCTTTTCAAGGTGCCTGCTAGGAGCTCAATCACCAGGAAAAGCACGAGAACAAACCATGTGCGAAATTTGTTGCAGGCTGACCTTGTCAACATGTCCGGCGTGCTGAGTGCCCTGGGGAAAGGTCACAGGTGCCATAGCACCACTTATCATCTGCTGCATTCTGCCTCACTCAGGGGCACAATATGGCACAATGACAATTACGCATCAGTCTCATGCAGCTTGCAACGTGATGTAAACGCGTCTGAGAACACGCACACACACACACACCCACAAAAAAACACGCAGGTGGAAGAGAGCCCTTGCTCTCCTCTCCAGCATGACACTGCGGCTGCTCGAACCCCAGGCTTACTATCCTCTGCGTCCGTGCTTTCGAGCTGGCTTGCCAAGGCTTCGGCCGTCCACCGTCAGCTATTCCGCAACCATCACCGCGTGCGAGAAAGGCACGGAAAAGCATCGAACTGCGCTCGTGAGCTGTCTGTGCAAGCAAGTCACGAAAGATCAGCTGTCAGTACATCCTTGCAACCCCAGAAGAGCAGGACGAGCGTGGGAACATGCTCTGCTTCTGTTTCGAGAGACCCGAAGACAGGCGGGGTCAGGAAAGCAGTTACTCGTACGTAGCGTCGTAGCTGTGATAAACCCAGCAAACCTTTGATCGGTAAAAGGTGGGGAGGAAGATCCCAGTGGACGTTGCAATGCTGACTTCACTGATGGCAGCCTGTGATGTTGGTGGTCGCCCGGATCTCGGCTAAAACAGGTGTTCTACGCACCTGGACCTACTCTTGCCTCGTAGACTTTGCAGCGCCGTTGTGCAGGCTGGCAAGATGCGCTTAGCCTGCTGGCCACTGCCCGGGCCAACAGGCTTCGCTAAGTGCCAAGCATGAGAAATAGTTATAGTTTCACCTCACGGATAGAAAGGTAAACGTGCCCGTGCCCCGCTTGTGTCTTGTCCGTCCCACAGGCCTTGCTTGCTTTGCCCCTCAGCGGTTTTCCATTAATGTTCACAGTGATGATAGTGGCAGTAGAAGCAAGCCCCCGGGCCTGGCAGGGTGTCATGGCGTTGTTGGGCTGGGAAGGAGGATCAGGTGGAGGGTGCCTAATAACCCCTCGGTGGATGATTATGTGAATGCTTGATAGCTTCCGCTATATAGTGTTTGCTACCCGATGACGGTTTACTAGTAGCGACAAGCTATAGAACTGATAAGCAAGGTAATGTGGTACTGCAAAACGCAAGATTGGTGCTGAATGTGCTCCTAGTAGGGATACCAATTGCAGAGATCAAGGCTGTAATCATAGTGCCACATGACGAATGACTAGCACGGTGACGATGGCGGTGACTGCAACGTTGAAATTGCAAGGACTGACTAACAAATGTGCATAAACCTGTGAAGTGTAGTATTGTGGAGTTCACCGGGTAAAGCATAGGTGTAGCAAGCATGTTTTTTGATTGGCATTCGTAGGATCACATGCTGTGCACTCTTCTTCAGTCTTCCCGCAGGTCGGGATGTGAAAGTGGTGATCTCAAGCAAGACTTCAAGGCGTGGATCTCCGGTTCTTGCCTGCGGCGCTGTGTTGGTGTTTCAGGACAGTAAGAAATTGCAACTTTCGGATTCCCTGAATTGGGCTTTCAGCTTGGCGGGTCACGGAAAGCATTGCTTCGGCCCAGGCCATTGAAGAGCTGCAGAGCACTTGTCTCAGTGCATGCAACCGTGTAGTCCTCAGTGCTCTCAGTGCGCGCGGTGACGCTCAGTCGGGCCGAAGGGCCGAAGCCAGGCTCATTGCAGTGGGAAGCTGCTCTCGCCATACTGCAATCTGATGCCCGCACCTCACAGTGGACCTCGCAACCCTAAACGCTTCGTCCGCCGGCAATATCACTGAAGGGAAGTGACTTGCTTCACAACTCTGCGCATTGCATTGGAGTCGATGAGGTTTGCGATTTTACTGGCCTGAACTGTGCTATCCAAGCGTGCGCCGGGGCGTCAAGGCTGCGCCCAGTCATTTGCTCAATATGTATAAGAAATTGCCAAAGTGTTTCTACATGTCACTCACTCTCTCCTGTTCAAACCGGCTCAGCAGGACAGAGCTACGACTTCTTATCGTAGTTACTGCATGTGGCCGTTTGACCTCAGGTGGTCCTTGGCTGTTTCGATGGTTGAAGGCGCCGGGAATTCTTGTTGCAAGGCAGGGCAAGCACTCCAAGCATGTCAAGCAACGAGGCTGCTATCACACCGCAACACTGTCCGCTGAGAGCTAAGAATCTGCGGACATCGTGTTGAGAATCCTTCCTAGCGGTGGATGCACAGCATCTCGACACCAAGCTGAGCTCGAAGCGGCGCTGCATGTTGTTCAGGGATGGGGCAGGAGTGCGGAGCCAAGGTTGTCTTGGGAGCCTGCGTGGCGTGTCGGAGTCCAAGTTTCAGCCCGTTCGGTGCAGCTGTCGCACAAAATCGTTTACGAAACAACGGGTCGAGTGTGACGAGTGAAAGGTCAAGAGCTCCCCATTGCTTCCGGCGTTTACAACCTGCGTCCTCCTCAGACACATCCAGCCGAAGGCGCTTGTGCAGCCAAGAGCAATGTAGTCGGACACGAATTTGTGCAAAGGCTACGGAAATCCCGCAACAACTCGGAAGAGGCCAGAGTACACCCGTCCTGAAGTATCGCGAATCCCGATTCCAGCGTATTTTTCGGGGTTCACTAGACCAACTCTTTTCGCTCTGTGGGGTCAAAGACCAGCTCGCTCCCAGCATGCCCTCTTACGAAGAGCCATGACGCCGCGCGTGACTTTGCTGGCTGTCGACTCACGAATTGCAGGCAGAGACTTCCATGGAGGCTTCCCATCTGCATGGTGCTCGGACGCCGCTGGTCGACATATGGCCGAGTTGTCGGAAGTAAAAGTCGTGGGACTGAGCGCAACGTGAGGTCTTGGTCTCGACATTTGTCCCACGCCGCAGAGGCAGAGGGGCACAGAAAAGATGCCTTTTGTTTTTTGCAGGACCTCGGAGCTTCCATGTTCAGGTTGGCGGAAAGCCGCACGCATCTCTGGGCAACGCCAGCACCTTACCGAGCCGGTGCCCATGTTGAGCTCAGTGGCTTAGGCATGCAGTCGTGCGCAGGTATCTTCATCCATGACTCGCAGATTGCTTGACATGCACCAGTTGCGGGCTGTGTGTGGCGACCGATCACGATGCAGACTTGTTTCTACGTGCTTCCGGCCAGCACCCCGACCGTCGCCGACCGTTTCGCTGCGTAACAGCTTAACATCTGAGGCCGTTGTATGCCATTCATGACAGAGTGTCCATGCGCTGGCACAAGCATTTCCAGCCCAGCACGGCAAAGCATCCCGTGGTACCGGCTGGATTGGCTCCTCAAGCCCGACGTCGTCTTGATGCTCTTCCTCCAGATGAGTTTCCCTGCAGCGCATCCCGCGCTCGCGCCAGAAGCGAAGGTCCCCCTGTGACACTGTAGCAATTGTTTTTTCAGTCTCGGCGGTTGGAAGGTGCGGGCACTCAGGGTTGTATGTAATGGTGGCTCCTCAATGTGCGGAGTGGTGTCGGGAATCTATCAGAATGATATCAGCTACCGATTTGAACCTCGGTAGAACTGAATGACAGGCGATTGAAAAGGTCCAACATGGCTAGCGCCGATGGAACAACGGAACGTTAGTCGATAACTGTCTTTTCATTCAGTCAGGCTAGTCATGATGTTTCCGTGAGGAGTCGAAGAGCTTCTGACAGCGCAAACGGACCAGAATTCTTCGCCACGGTCATCAAGTCCATCGGCAAGGGCGAGTGTCTATAGCAATGACTAAGTCATTGAGCTTGCGCAGTGACAGGGGATACATTTGTAAAAGGATTGCACTATGGTTTCGGTGAGCGAGACTTCGGCAGACGCTGTGAGTGTATGAAGAAACTTCCCATCTTTGCGGTGGAATCTTAAAGGCCCTTGAAGCTTCTTGGCTTGCAGAAACGAGCAGTATAGACAAGTGGATGAACTTGTTTGCTCGAACCCATGGAGACAGAACTGTGACTTGTAAGTACGCGTGATCGAGCATGAAGGCTTCTGAGCAAGCTCACAATACGACCAGCCGCATTGTTACGAGTTTGCCCGTGCTTCACCCCAGCCATCTGAGCTGCGGAGCCCCTCGGCCGGATGGTTTGGGCAAGCATGCAAGCTCCCGTTCAATGCCAGAGCCGCGATTGAGGGACTCCTGTTTGCCGATCTGGCTTTGTGCTGCGGTTTCCTCTCGAAGCGCGGTAATCATTGGGCATTCCTGGCTGGCACTAGAAGTTGGCATGCCGAGCGCTCCTGCTGAGGTGTCTACAGCATGGCGAAACGCTCTCAGTTGCAGACATACGGAAAGGCTGCCTTGCGTGAGCACCATGGACTCAAGGCCAACGAGGTTCTGTGGCGAGACGGTTCAGTCGGAGTTGGAGGCGAATACAAGAGACTTACCGCACGAGCCAGTCGTTCTGGAAACAGTTCCAGTGCAGGCCATCCTTGCAAGCGGCCACCGGCAAGTGGCGGCCCGGATTGCGCTGTATTGCAGCGAGCTGGTGGAGGCGGCGAGGGAGTTTCTGGCATGCTGACATATGCTGACATGCCGTTCTCGTACATATAAAATCGAACAACCGGCCTCACGTCGTCATACATTTTCAACAGGAGCAACCTTCACCATCGGCGCACTTTACCACATTTGGTTCCGGTGGCCTTTGCGCAAGATCTGGGGATCGTCTGCTTGCTTGAAGTTTAAAAATTATGTTCAGGCAGCGGTTTTGTTGCACGGTTCAGCTGGTCGTTCTGCATGTTTTGATGGCATCTCCGGTCTTTTTGTAATCGTTAGGCTTGTTCGTCATGCTGAAACATACAGTAGCTATTGGTGGGGAGGCCAAAAAGCGATGCCCATACTCATGAACCTCCAGATATTGTGCATATGTGCGGAGTCTTGCATGGGCCTCGCGCGTCAGGCTGCACTACTCGCATCTTCCAGTTTCATTGTCAAGTTCGCGACTAGAACTGAGATTCCCATTCTCGGTCCGAGAAGTAAAGCTGGCAGCTACCAGCAACCACCAATTGTCTCTTGCCCTAAGAAAACTTTCATTATATGGCGTTTGTTTAGTCGGCAAAAGAAATGAAAAGTCAGTTGCAGTGTTCTGCTGTGCGCTAGTGTCTTGAACTGATTTAGGCGCCGGAGTGCAAAGTGTTTTTTGGGTGCTGGTGGTTTGTCACGCGATAAAGGCGCAGCGTAACACCGGGCGGTATGAAGCGTAGCGGAATAAACTTCATAGCACGAGGTGGGATGATGTGGCAAGACATGCCATGCGACTAAGCACATCATGCGGATTCAATCTTTTAGCCGTGGCCTCTAGGACTTCAAGAGTTTAGGTGAAGTGATATCAGATCACGATGCAGATAGGACGGACCAGATGGTGCCGGATAGCGTGGTCATCCGACCTGCGGTGACCTGTTCGTTGAAACAGCTAGGGGTGGTGACGAGACGCCAGGTGATACACGGTGCATTGTGCTAAAGTCCGCTGCAGATATGCCGTTCGTGATTCATATTGTTGTTCGTAGTCCTGGCTTGATTGCATTATACAGTTTGTGCAGTGTTACTCAGTGTGGTTCGACGCGATGTTGTGCTACATGAGTTCTGATGTGTGCTGAGATGGCGGCTGCTGTCAGGGCATTCATAAAATGGCCTTCCCTCGCAATCTGAAGAAGTGCCATCACGGCGACGTGGCATGATGACGTGGAGCAACTACGAAGTGTTATAATGAGTGAAACTACCCAGGTTCGATGTTGTGGTAACTAGAGATGCGATGAAGCATTGCATCACATGTGGAGCGGGTTTTCCCTTGTGAGTTTTTTTGTGATGCGATGAAGGCTAATGTATTTCGTGGGAGATCCCGGTGAGGTGAGACGTGGTGAGGGGTCAATGGGTGGACAGAGATCAAATGCTTGAGCCGGCCCGCAGCCTGTCGCATTTGACTTCTGCGCCGACTTGCAGGCCGCTCGCGAGGACGAACGGCAGCAGCTTCGCGACAGGCGCGAGGGTGCAAGTGGACCCTTGTTGCGCAGAACGACGGCCGCAGGCAATTAGCAGCCGGCGCTGGTGGACAGACGGGTGACGGCACAGGCGCTGTTGCAAACAAGCGCAGTGTGGGTCTCCATCACGCCGACTGTGCTCGGACTTCATTTGTTTGGCATCAGGCTTACGTCCTTCGCCAGAGGCAGCACAAAAAAGCGCAGAGGCTGCGCAGAAGCTGGCACAGCAGCCCACGTTGGATCAATTCCATACGGATCGTGCCATCCTGAGAACCACAACGAAGTCTTTCGTGGAATGATCGGATGGCTGTCCTCAGGTGCAACTGACAGAGACTGTGTGTGGATCCTGCGCACGGCATTTTCCATCAGGAACAAGGCAGTGCCGATCCAGATTCAGATGGAAACCCACCTCCAAGCAATACGTTGGCAGGTGATCCAGCGGGGGAAAGACGAGGCTCTGGTGGATGTTTCATGGGAAGCTAAGGGTCTTCTTTCATCGACATGGCTCCAAAAAGCTTACAAGGACACGGAAGCGACTGGTGAATTCCGAGGCATCCCAAACCTTGCCCTTACAGATGCAGGCGTACTGTTGCCTGAATGGCTAAAGTAAAGAAGCGGAGGAGATGTCACATGTTGTCCTTTGTTCAACACCACTCGAGGCACTCTGAACAGCACCGCACCCGCCCACACCCGAGGAACGACAGAATCATGTTGTACGCTTGTTTCTTTCGTCCTTTTCGTTCTGGAAGGGCGCTGCGGATGCTGCAGAGGCCGCTACGTATCTCACGATGCCGGACAACGGTGCATCAAGAGCAGAACTGGATCGACCGGCTTCGGCTTTAGGACTGCAGGGCTTTGGAGACGAATTCGGAGTCGTCAGGCCTCAGGTCAACGTCCTTGGAATTGGCGGCCCTGGTTGCTCTTATCTGGGTAAACTTCTGTGCAGCCAGATCAGTCTGTTCCGAAGCCGAACTGGCAAAAGACAAGGTGCACGTCGTTTCGTCCGTTCGTTCGGGTCACGGAAGCTGCACACGTCATTCATCGGAACTGCCAGGCGCAGGCTACCCGCAGCCGCGCTGTCTCAATGCAACTCGTCCTTTGAATGTGCATCGTAACTGCGACAGTCTAATGCAGGCTTTCATGTCGTGTTGTGTAAGGCATTGTCGCAGTAAATCCCGTATGTACCTGCAATATAATTGTAACAAGGACGGCATACATGTTTCTGCGCAAGATGCTACTGCCCGAACGTATTGAGGAAAGACGACAGTTTGATGTTGGCAGGTGCAAACGGCAGTATCCCCAAATTGAGGGAATTGGCCAGATCGGGTTTCAATCACTGAAAGCAAGCCTTGGTATGGTGCCCAGTGGCCTTTCAGAATGCGTGGAAGTAGTGAAGAGAGAGATGCAGGTGAGAGTGGCTGTTGAAAGGCATGGGAGCAACACCATGAAAAACCCTGCCCTGCGCACTTGCTCTCTGGGACTGCCTGCCCTTCCCTCTCAGTTTACAAGGGAACGGGGGAGGGGGGCTGGCTTATTCTCTCTCCTTTACTGTTTCCTTCTTTCGAGGGCATGGGGAATCCCTCTCTCCGCGTAACTATCTGTTTATCGTTTGTCTATCTACCCTGGCTCTCCCTCTCCCCTCTCCCTCCCTCTCGCTCGCAATCGCTCTCGCTCTCGCTCTCGCTCTCGCTCTCGCTCTCGCTCTCGCTCTCGCTCTCTCTCTCTCTCTCTCTCTCTCTCCGTCTCTGTCTGTCTTTCCCTTTCTCCCTAGATATGTCTCTGGGTATTACAAGCGGAATAAGTCTACAGTGTCTAGAGATGCATCGAGATCAAAGCTGTTCGTGGCTTTGGGGCTCCAGTTTAGGGATGGCTTCGGAGCCTGGTCTCGTGCCTGGCCGGGATCCCCTGGCTCAACATGCAAACTTGGGGTTCCACATGCGCACGTCGGTTTTCGGGATGCAGACTCTCTTTGTTGCCTGGGTTCAACCTGCACGGGTGAATCCTTGCTTCACCGGCACAGTTCGGTTTTCGAGATAGAAACGGCTAGGGGTGTGGTAGAAGAGTAAAATAGCAAATAGTATACAGTAAAATAGCCAACAGTAAAGCAGTAAATAGTACAATAGTACAGTAGTGAAATGGCCAAATAGCAAATTAGCAAAATCCTGGCTCAGCCGACACAGTTCGGTTTTCGAGATGCAAACGGATGGGGGCGTGGCGGAATAATGAAACAGTAAGTAGTGAACAGTAAAGAAGTAAATAGTAAAACAGCAAAAAAGTACAACAGTACAGTAGTGAAATCGTAGAGTAGTGGATAGTAAACCAGTAAGACATTGGCTCAACCGGCACAGTTCGGTTTTCGAGATGCAAACGGCTGGGGGAGTGGTAGAATATTGAAATAGTAGATAGCACACAGTAAATAGCTACATAGTAGAACAGTCAATAGTACAATAGTACATTTGTGAAATACTGGAATAGTAGAATAGTGAACTAGCAAATAGTTAAATCCCGGCTCAGGTCGGTTTTGGAGATGCAAACTGCTGGGGGGGGGGGGCGTGGTAAAATAGGAAAATAGGATTTTCCCGGCTCAACCGGCACAGGTCTGTTGCATCTCGCAAACCCAACCTTGCATGTCGAACGCCACAGTCCCCTAGAACTTGTGCTTAGGAGTAAAAAGCAGCAGCCAGCAGTGCTGGATCCTAATCTCGTCGAGCCGGGTGCTTGGACGTGACGCCACACGGTGCAGTCTCACGAAGGGTCAAGTTTTTTGCGCAATCCTGCAGCATTGATATAATTCCGGGGAGCTCGGCTCAGAGCTGTGTACATAGCCGTTGCACAAAGGGCCCAGTTCCTCCCCTTGTCGCATGGCCTTGGAACTCATGCAGCTAGCGGCCGGCCCTGACGCTTGCCTAAGCCAAGCCAACATCTGTTGGTTCGAAACCGCATGGCCTTCCTTTTGACACCGGGGTTTCTGCACTCAGCTGAGCTCTTTGACTTCAGCTGCGGAAACCGGGGAGATTCTAGATTTAAAGATATGTCCGTCCGAACATGACGGTTGGCGAGATGAACTGTTTGTGGTTCAGGCGCGGGCCGTGCAAGTCTTCAAGTCTGGCAACCTGACGCAGCAGGACACCGGCCTGGCGATGAGGGGTGCTAAATCTGCAGTTTTGGGCACGGGGTGGACGTTTGTTCATAACTCCAGCTCATCGTAAAAAAGGCTGGAGGTTCTGGACTTTAATTCGTCGCGTTTCAATTATTGAGTATTGAATACACAGCCGAGACATGTATCAGGTGTTTTACTGCCCCTGACCCGTGGCCCTGTTTTGCGCGGGTCCTTTTCAAAGAGCCCTGTCCAGATCGCACGCTGGCTTCCTCCTGTCAAGCTGGTTGCTTTTCGCCGAATCAGCCCCTGCTGCCGGCAAGTGGTCAGCGACCTGCTGGCGCACCTCGGCCCTGACACAGTCATACATGGGTCTCCCTGAGTAGAGTTTTGATGGAACATGGAGTCTTCTATACAGCATCAGTTAAGTCAGGTCCGATGAAGCCCTTCGAAATGCATCTGGGCTCAAGAAGAAGAAGTTTGCAAGTCTTGAGGTGGTATCTGCTAGTGTACTGCTTGATGCTTCCACGGTCCGTCAGGAGGTGCAAGCGGCACTACAGGAGGTTTTACATCAAAAGGATAACCGAGTTTGGGTGGGAATCCGGGTGCGAAATCACAGCGCAGACCCGGGGTCTTTTGCAGTGGACCGGCGTCAGATTACTTTGGCCAATCCATCCTCGAGTACGGCCTCGGCAAGCTCTACATCATTCGTGTTCAATCGGGTTTTCGACCACAGGGCAAATCAGATGGATGTTTGGAGCAGCATCCAGGCCCCTCTGATGCGATGCGTCCTGCGCCGCGAACACGCGTGCTTGTTTGCCTATGGGCAAACTGGGTCTGGCAAGACCTATACCATGTTTGGAGATCCGGCCTCGCCGTCGGAGAGTGGTCTGGCTTTCCGCATCTTGACACACAGAACGCATGCCGAAGGGTTTACTAAGCTTACTAGTCCCTTTCAGGATGTTTCAGGTTCTGTCTGGCTCTTTTGTTTCACAAGCCCAGGAATTACAGACAGCTTGAAGCAGCTTCTTCAATCGGCGACATGCGTGGAAGATCGTCCGTCGCTGGAGTTCAGTTTTCTGGAGGTGTACAACGAGCGGGTCCATGTTTCCCGGCTTCGGTCCAAAAGCTCTTTGGCCTTTCCAAGCTACTTGTACACGAATTTTGCAGGGTTGCGCCTAGGACCTTCTCGCCAACTCGAAAGTGTGCGTGCTGGCGGGCATCTTTGGCTGTCAAACAGTTGAGTTGAAGTATGTTGAAGTTTGCAGTAAGAAGGGGTAAGAAGGGTACTTGTCGTACGTTGCGTTTGATGTTTGAGCCGCTGCAGCGAGGTGAGAGGGAAGAGCTGGCACCTGGAAGCACATACCACGCCGCCAAGCTCGGAGACGAGCACGTGATTGTGCGTGGTCTGACAAGACGGACGCATCTCGGTGGTGCATGCTACAGATGATACAGCTTTGGATGGGTTTAGTGTAGACCGTCATGAAACTGCCGTGTCCGGGCTGTGAATAACATGATTGCTCCTTCTTGTCGGGAGGTGTGGTGTGCATGACATCACGGAGAAGGCCGGATGTCGAAAACGACGACGACCACAACTACTACGACTGCGAATACTCCGGCTACGACGACGACAACTACGACTACCACGACGACGGCGACGGTGACGGCGACTCCTCCTTTTACTACACTACTCCTACTGCCCTACTACTCCAACTCCTCCCACCACTACTATTACTCCTCCTCCTCCTCCTCCTCCTCTTCATACTTCCTCTATTATTGCTGCTGCTACTACTACT